ATTCTATCCTCAAACTGATGGACAAACGGAGCGTTTAATCAAGTTTTGGAGCAATATTTAAGATGTACCATTAACTACGAACAAGATGATTGGACAACTCTTTTGCCATTGGCAGAGTTTGCTTACAATAACACGGTACATTCTTCTACAAAACAAACATCTTTCTTTATTAATTATAGTTATCATCCACGACTTGATACTTTTGACTTTTTAAAAGTTGATTATCTTGTTGCGAAAGATTTGGCGATTCATTTATTTGAGCTACATGCAACGATGAAGGCGTAGTTAAAAGAGGCTCAGGAACAACAAAAGATCAATGCGGATGTCTATCGAAAGGAACAACCACCATTCCTCTTAGGTGATAAGGTATGGCTACTTCGTCGCAATATCAAGACCACTTGTCCTTGTGACAAGTTGGACTATCAAAGGCTGGGACCATTTTCTATTTCTGTACAAATCAATCCAGTTGCATATCGTTTACATCTATCGGAGTCAATAAAAATCCATCCAGTATTCCACATGTCTCTTCTTGAACCATACAAGATAGTGGACATACGAAGAAGATGACAAGCTCTACCTCCTCTTATAGAAGTGAACAATAATGAAGAATTTGAAGTAGAAGAAGTCTTAGATTCAAGGCGGTGCCAAAATAAATTAAAATATCTTGTCCATTGGCACGAATATGATATTAATGAATGCACATGGGAGCCAATAAAGAATCTTACAAATGCAGCAAAGGTGGTGGAGGCTTTTCATCGACGACATCCATCAAAATCAAGATGAAAACCTTCTTTGTAAAAGAAAGAACACCTAGGCAAGATGACATTCTACTTTCAATCCTTGTTTGTAGCTTCTTTGTAGTTGTGACACTCAAGAGATGGAGAACCAACAACCAGCAGATTTGACTGAAGAGCCTTCATTTATTGACCTATCGGATGAGACATTACGATTGTCACAACCTTTAAGACGACACAATCGAAATGAAGATCTTCAAGAACGACATGTTCTTCCTCGAATAGATGGCAAGATACAACGCGTTTGGTATCACGATTTGGGAAGGGACTCCCGATGTTTGGTGATTTTGCTAGAGGTAAGAACAACTTCTGACAATATTCCAAATATTTTATTTGAATGAAGTTATGAAGGCCTCAACAATGATCAGATTATAGGGTAGTCTTTTGGCCCTAGTATAGGACATTATCAATGGTTGAGAGGCCTTATCAACCATCTTCAAAAAGAAAACAAAGATTTGAATATGTAACAAATATAATTTGTTGTACCATAGATTTTTTCAACATATGATGACTGCTCCTCGTGGAACTCATCCCTAGAAAGGGAGTTAATATCACAAACATATGCATGTAAGCTAGTAATTACTTATATAAATAGGTAGAAGTAAGTAGAAGTAGATAAAAGCAAGTTAATTCTATAATATCTTCTATCGAAGCTTTTTAGAAGCTTTATAGACATTGATTTGACTTTATAAGTATCTTGAATTGAATTTTTGAATTAGAAACATAGTCAACAAGTTGGTCATGTGCCACACATGTTATTAGCTTGAAGACCTAGCTAACTATGTAGCCCATACATAGAAATACTTGCCTTGTAAGTCAAGGCATGTGTCGTACAAAGTCAACACATATTGGAGGTCTTATAGAACATTGCCATGTAGCCCCTAGTTAAATAGTATATATAGAGACAAGAGTGAAGTCCTCTTCACTCTTGTCAAGTCCTTTCTTGCTTCTAGTCTACTTTCAAGAGTCTCAAGTTTTCTTGTCTTTTGGCAATAAGTCTTTCCTGTTTTTTTTAATATACGTACTTCCTTATTTTTATTTTGTCACTCTTTCTTTGATACAAATTTCATTGGTTTATACATCATCTTTTAGTTCATTTCCTTAACAATAATTCTATTATAATTATACTAAAAAAAAAGATATCTAATATTACTCAAGATAAGTAGAAGAGAAGACTTGAGAACAAAGAAAATGCTAAGATTAATACTAGTTTAGAAGAGATTAATCTACAACTTCTAATACACTTTTTTCTTGTTAAGAAAAATGAATAATTCACTTTTAATTAAGAAAAGACATAGCTTTAATATTACAAATATATTCTTGTCAATTTTTCAAGGAGAAAGTTTTAATGAATCCAAATAAATAAGTGAGACTTTTTTCAAAGAAAGATGAAAAAATTGAAATAAGAAAGTATGTATATTCAAAAAGAAACTAGAACGGCTATTGCCAAAAGATAAAAAAATTAGAAATCCTTGGAATTAGACCAAAAGTGAGAATAGAATTGGAAAGAATAAAAAAGGCTTCATTTTTGCCTTCATATATATACTATCTAACTAAGAACTATATTGCAATGTTCAATAGGACCTCTAATACGTATTCCATTTGCGAGATGCATATTTTAACTTATAAGGAAAGTTTCTTATATGTATGCCACATGGTTAGCTTGTATAACAAGCTATCAATACATATGACATGTGGCTAACTTGTTGGCCAAGTGTTCAACCTATCAATTACCTTCAAACATGTATAAAGATGAAATTGCATCTATGAAGCTTCTCTACAAGATATTATCAAATTAATTTACTTATACCTACTTCTATCTATTTATATTATCAAGATTACTATTGAAATAAATATATATTTGTGAAAGTAGCAAATTCTAACATCAATTTGATGTAAATTTAGAAAAAAAGAGTGTAAATTATACTTTATATAATTATATATTTATAGTAGAAAAATATCATATAAAAAATTAATGATATAAAATTAGAATTTTGATTGGCTCAAATATTATAAAAATTTATATAATGTTAAAAAAAATATGTATTTTTTTTTCAATATATTTTATTGTTGCAAGAAAATTTGAGTATGAATAAAAATAACCATTTAAGAGGATTTTTTTTTAAAAAAAAACCAATTTAAATAACACTGTAATCTTTTAATATCACATGTAGTTACCATTATTTTTTCTAAAAATAAAATAAAATTGAAAAGAATGCATGATATAGTTGTAAGATAATGTAGATGATCATTACAACAAATTCATGAAGAACATCCAGATAACTTATCACTTTATATTGCTTATTTTCTTTTCAATGTAAAAATTAGAATAGCATACTTAAATGAATCAAAAAATTATATATAATGCAAATAAAGACCATTGTAATATACACCTGAAATTTTCACATCTACTCAAATGGATTTTTATTCAATATTTTTTTTAAAAAATTAAATATTTGACTATATACTATAGTAGAAAATTATTATGTGAATCCATAATAGATTCTTGAATAGTAATAAAAACTAAATATTGTATTTGATGTTTAAAAATAAATTAAAATCAATAGAACTTAAAGATGTTTTGTCACATTTTAAAAAATAATAAAAAAAAATATGAATAGTAGTCCTACCATCCAAAGTAACAAACAAAATTAAATTTTTTGATTTTTTTGTAAATCTTAAATTATCTTTTTTTTTTGAAAAAGATATATGTATATATATTCTGAAAAAGCTTTTGTTTCTCATTTTGTCAAATTGCATTAATTATCAATCATCTTTGTGCTTGAATGTAATTTCTTCTTATAGAAACTCATATATTTAGATCAAAATCAAATTTTCAAACAATCTTCATTTTATCTATTTATTGTTAGCTTACCATATATATATATATATATATATATATATAATATACATACATACACACACAGAAATGCAAACTTGTGTTGTTGTTCATCAGGCTCACAGAACATGAATATATTCCAGTCTAAATACGCTCAAGTAAAAACCATTCTCACTTTAAATAGTTGCCAAAATTTGTTCAATCAAATGCTGTCATTAATCTTTTTTCCCATTAAACCTCTGCTATCACCAACTCAACATGGTGGGCAGGGAGCATCTGTTGAGGCGCAGGTTGACACCTACAATTCCAAGAAACTAGTATCCATCAAAATCTTAGAATTGAACAACAACCCCAATGTTTGTAACCTTCAAGAAAGAAGAAAGAAAATCCTCATCAACCATCCAAAATTTCAAGCTCTCGCTCCACACAACGAAATCTTTAACGACGGATCTGAGTTTGTTGCCGACTAGTTCATGAAGGATGATCATTTCTATGTTTATACATGTAAACACAGATATATATATATTGTGCGTGTGCATATGAATATGACAATTGTGCATGAAATGAAAAAGTTGCAGTGCTAGTGTGGCGATGTCGCGAGGTGGGTTGCAGAGCCAAAGCATTGTGGCTCACATGTCAGCGATGGACTAAACTTAGGCTGCAAAATCCGCAACGGAACTGTGCCGGGGGCATCCTGAATGCAGGCACCAGGACCAGGATGTGTGTTTGCTGATGCCTTGTGATGATGCAACTGTTGCACACTATTCATGAACGTGGTGCAGAGAGTTGCTAAATTTCAACGCAGCCTATATTCCTTGCCTATCCGTAGCGCATGCCACGCAAATCGATCGGGAACTGTGCCATGTCTGGCCGCTGCTGCTGATGCCGCCGTTCAAGTCTCTCCTTGTGCTGCTCGGCCTTCCGGATCCTCGCTGGCTCTCGGCTCAGGGAATTGGAAGATCTTTCGACCCTGCAGTGGCTGATCCGCTGGACGCGTCACACTTGCCACCTTGCGCCGGATGTTGTCGTCGACAGGAGGGATTTGCTGTATGCCAAAAAAGGTACAGTGCAGAAAGTTCGGTAGTGACGCACGGGGGAGGGCATACACGATGAGCACCATGGTTGAGGTTAACAATTCCGTTAGAAAAGGTCCACTGTCTGAACTTGGTCTCCATTTTTCACGGATGAATCTGAGCCTTGCCGAGGGCGTGGCGTTTGCATCGTTGAGGTATTCTTTGCAAGCCGCATGCGGTTATTCGCATGTTATGATAAGTTGGTACTAGGTCAAATTCATTTCGAGCTCAATTGTGCAAACTTTGACATGAATGATGCGCCATCTCTCGTGGTTGGAAACAAGGGAGGCTTTCTTCAAGTGATTTAAGAATCGTTCTTATTTAACCAGCTTGTTGGAGCCAAAATACATCGGGTATATAGGTATCAAGAACCTGATACTTGTCCACCTTGCAATATACTGCAAATTGGCCATTGAGTCTACGAATACTGCTGCAGCTGGCCTGGAGTCCTAAGGTGGAATGTATCCTCACTATAAGTTACCTGAACGTCATTTGTATAAGAAGCTGGATATTATACGTCACAGACGAACAGTCCAAGAGTGTTTTTGTTTGCACGAGGTGGGGCCGTGTCTCCGCTGAGAAACTGTTGGACGCCGAACCTTCGTAGCTGCGTAGTCACGAACATCATGTTGGCGTTCGTTATAATGTTCCAGTGACGAAAAGCTGAACAGTCCATCGGTCGACGCGGCAATGTGCATGTGCTTCCTGCGTTGTTTGATCCCTCAAGACTTGCTCCCGAGAAAACATGCGGTTCAAATAGCACGTTTGTTTTCGTCTCGAAAATGATTCTTCCCTCTACAATAATCACCCCAACATAGAAACCGAGCAAGTTGCATGACCACTGGTCAACCTTTCTAAGTGGTTAATTCCTCTGAGCTTAGTCTTCTATACAGACTGTAGCCTACAGTGGTAAGCCGCCTCAGCGCGTGGAACTACTTCCAAGTATCTGTGTTCTGCCAACGAATAGCAGTTAAACTCACTTCCAAAGCTTTTTCAAGGCTTAAACATTTAAAAAATGAAGAGAAAAGGTTCATGCTATATATTCAAACTGGGAACTTTGTTTCAAGAGGTACCTGATTGAAGTAGCCAGTTGGATAGTGAGCAGCGGAATAAGCTTGCGCGTGATGTGCTTGGTGCGAAAGCTGCCAGTTCGAGGCGCTGGGGGCGCTTCCATGTGCAGGCTCAGATTGGCCGGTGAAGGTCTCACCGGTGCCTTGATCCGCGGCAGCCCCACTGCTACTTGACGAAGCTCCGAAGCCCGTGTTGGATTCGCCTTTGGACTTCTTGCGATCCTCGTACTGGCCTCTGGACCGTTCCAAAGCCATGTCATGGATGCTTAGTCCTCGATTAACTCCGACGAGACTCATCTGTCCGGCTAAACTGTGCAGGTTAGATTGAGAACCAGTCTGAGGGAAGAAGGTTGATGGACCAGCTTCATTACTGCTTCCTATTTCCCTGCAAGACATCCAGTAATCACATCCACGTCCAACCAATTAAGGGACTTCACTCTCAATGCGTACTTTGACTGCAAAGACAATGATCTCACATAGATACCCGTACCTGTTCATCTGCACTGGAACTATTGACTGAGAGTTTGTTTGCTGCTCCATAAAGTCTTGAAGTATTGCCTCTCCGCGCTCAGGATTATTCCACTGTAAAAATGGAGGGTGTGTACTCCCTGATAAGCCTTGTTGTTGTTGCTGCTGCTGAGCCCGGACCTGTAAAGCCATCACCTACACGCAACGGAAATTTACAGGAAATCAAACGCGATTGCCTCAATGCGTCACAAAATATGTCCTAGGAAGGCTCAGTGAAATGCGCGTTAACATTAGAAGGCTGGATTAATGGCTGCGTACCTGTCTTTGCATGACAGAAGCTGCCTCGTAAGCACTGCTCACGTACGCCTGCGTGATCACGGACATTCCCTCTTTACTAATAGCTGAATAGAAGCATCAATAATTTAATGCATTCAGAAATTGAAGTTAACCTGCAAGAGTTGATTGTAGTAGCTATTGTCACCTTCCTTGCCCTCACACGCTCAATGGCTTGTTCCAATTCTGTCTCCATATTAGCCAGTTGCTGAACAGAAGTGACACTTTGAAGTAGTTGCTGGTCAGCCAAGTACAACCTGCACAACACATGTATTAGTCTCTACGTTTCAAATTCTACTCCCCAACTTAACTGATGATTGCAGTGTACTTGCAGTGTCAGGGTTTTACAGCTCACTGCACACGTAGACTGCCGATTTAAGATCATCGACATGGAGCTTAGGTCACAATCGCACCTGGCTCTTTGTTGAACTAATTCTTTCTCTTGTTGTGATTTCTTCAGCTCTTCTTGCAGCAACTGATTAAATGACACAAACATTTCACCAATTTATTTTTGGAGTAAATTTGAGATCAAGGTTGCAAGAGCACCAGAATCCAATGGATTCACTTCACTACATTAGACTGAAAACACAACTCTACCTCAAACGCAGAAAGTTTGTAATGAAAAATCTACTTAGGCAGGATAATCTCAAAACTTACCCCAACTTCGTAGCTCTTACTGCCAATATTTTCCGGAAAGCAAACACAACCCACAAGTCACAGTTCTCAAATTAATAAATTGCGAGACGTCGTGCAAGCGGTGTGGAAAGTCCAAATTTGCCAAGCAGAAAGTATTGCTCCCTGCAACTCATAATTAAGCAGTGCATCTTAAATGTCGAGAACCTACGTTACCGTAATAAGATGAAGATATCCAAAGCGAAAGATTTTTGGGCCGAATTGCATTTTGTGACGCTAACCTTCCAGAGATGAGCTGATTGGAGACCAGTTCCTTGTCACCTGCGAGTTTCTTAAGCGCTTTGTGAAGATACTGCACGGAAAACACAGCAGTTTGGCACGCTTCTGTTTAGTTCCAAAAGTTGAATATCATACCACTAGACTGTATCCCACTCAATTAGGGCTTAGTTCCTTCTAAACAGCGCTTCTAAAAGTGACTGTTCTTGCTCAGAATCTAGAGGGACTGCAGTTACACATTTGCAGTAGAGTCCGTACCTCGAGATTTTCAAGCTTTCTGAACAACATCCAAGGATTGTAGCGGCAAATGGTGGCGCACATACACAAGAGGAACAAACAAATCGTTAGAACAACTTTCAAGCATTCTGACAGTTACTGAATGTACAGAGTCTCAACAAAAGGACCTGTGTCAGGACGAACACAATATAGTTAAATCAGCTCCGAAAATTCGAACTTGTCACTGAAGTTCATATGATTGCGTCGCAGTACTAAATCATGTTCCCATCACAAATCTTTCAAACGAGGAGAATTCACTTCAGTAGATAATATATAGATCACTCTACGAAAGTTAAATACCTTTTGTTCCGCTCGTGCATAGGTAAATTGGCGAATCGACCGATAATATCTTCGATGCTGTGACACAAAATAAACAGGCTTATTGGATTAGCTCACCCGCAGTAAGCTTGTGTCAAACACTTGAAGCATTCTCAAAACCTTAAGATCTCACAGTAAATGTCAAGATAGTCATGCTTTCTCATTAGTCCCATCGAGAGTCTTGAAGGCGCACAGTATTAGGGGAACAAGTGGCAGACCGATGGCAACCATTTCGAAATCACGTATGAACTTCTGGACGATATGACAGAAGGTTCACGTAACAGTAGACCGACACAAAGTGTATAGTTAATTGACGCAGAATTCGAATGATCGACCGACACCAGACACGACGAAACTGCATTGAGGTATCCTCCATTACACCTCAAACGTTACCCCTCATCTCTCACTCAGAACACGGCTGTCGAACTGCCTCACGGAATTCAACAGCGTCGCAAATCATCGGAATCAAGTACCTGCAATTACTGTACTGCGTGAGCTTCCCGGATGGTGAAAACATGATAAGCGCGAGGTCGATATCACAAAGCACAGACAACTCGTAGGCTTTCTTGACGAGGCCATTCCGCCGCTTGGAGTATGTCACCTGCCTGTTGGTCGGGTTCTCGATCTTCTTAATCTCCAACTTCACACGACCCATCTCTACCACCCCTAAAGGTCTAATTGGGATAGAGTCACGTCGGCACTCTACCGCCAATTCAAATCGTCCCCACTTGAAAGCCAGATCCCTAAACCCCGAACCTTTCGATTACGTCGAAAAGTATCAACAGTAACCAGTCACACGATTGGACGCCGTGGGCAGCACAGTATCAGCTCACTGAACCTGTCCTTTTTCGGCGCGTTCGGAACTAGACAACTCTCATGATCTTGAAGCCAAAGGGTACACGGCGCAAGATCCATTCCGGAAATCAATCTGCACACGGCTGGCCAGCTACCTCTGAAGCCGTCAGCCCAGACCAACGTACTCTAGAAAGAAGTTAACCAATTCAGTCACTCCACGCTTTTGAGCAGCCTGCAATGATGCGGGCCAGAGAGCTGGACCGTATGGTCTCTGGCATGATTTAAGAATAAGGCCAGGCCGCTCCGGCCGATCGCTGCAAGGCTTGAGCTTGGAGCTCACTCGCGAAGGAATGAACGCCAATGTGGTGGGTCCGGCTCCCTCAAATCTAAACATAGCCATCGCTGGTGGTGATGAGTTCACAGCTGCTTCCCCTTCTGCCGGGAGATGGTCCAACTTGTTGGTTATGTCCAGCTTTTGTCTTCGTCCCCGCACCTTTTTCAACCCCATGCTTCGGCTTCCAGGACTCATTCGGCAAACCCCTCGGCAAACTGGTGTGAAAACTGGCTCATCTGACCTGTACATTACAGTATATTCGGCAAAGTGTAAACAACAGTGCCGATGTCAGAGGTGGTGCAAAGCTATTTTGAGATCCTACACAGCCGCAAGCTGACATCATGTGCCAGTGGGCATAACCTGAGGCTGCCGTAATTTCTAACCATTTCTATTCTCATCTAAGCGCTTCTGGCAATGCCCTGAAGCGCCCATTGTTCCTTAGAACTCGTATAACGTTGCCAGGCGCATAGTGAAGTACATGGTTGGAATTGGCACTCACATGCATGAGTGAGCATTTGTCAGCGAAGTTAATTGCGTGATTGTAACTTTAATTAAATTCATGCCCGCGAGAACAAGCAACGGCTGTTAAACATACAACATTTTTGTGGTACAAATCTAGTGCAAAGAACTTAAAGCACAAATGCACAATACCTTCGAATCCGTGTGCAGGTTGCAAGTCCCTGATCTCTCCTCTTACCAGATATCAGAAAAAGACTTGGTAACCGATATTCACAGCTTCTTTTAGAATCTTTCAATCTTCCTGAAGAAGATTTCATCAGGTGTGTTTTTAATTATGAAGACTAAAAGGACAGAATATGTAGCTCAGAATTTTGCCTCGGCCAACACACTTTACTCTCTAACAGATTTTGGAGCACATTCGCATACCTATAAGATGCGTGTGCGAGGCGCAGATGTGGGGTACAAATTTACTATATGTGTATGCACACTGTTTCAACTTTCCAATGACCAGATGAGGCGCCAGCATTTAAAATCATGCTTGGGGTGTGGACTCCAGCACAATACTCATCCAAATACAGTGAGACACATTCATAGACATTGTAGAACTAATAGGTAACATTCAAAACAGCTGTCTACCTAGGACTCGAACAAGCCAAATCTGGCAGCAGTCTACCATGATTCTTCGATTGCGTAATAAACCAACGAAACAATCACATGGGTTAATGTCTCAAGGATTCTAAATAAACCTCTACTTCGGTGATCTGAAGACATTGGCATCTGTTCAATATGATTTTGTGTTTGCAACTAACTCTAGAAGGTTTCGAGCCGAGACCTTAAACCCATCTTCGCCTGTAGAATAATTTGTTTGCAACCGCAATTGATTGTATACAGTGAATGATCAAATTTTCTGCCTTCGCTAAATATGTCCGCAGAACAGTACTTGCTTTGTACGCGATAGAGAGACAGGATAACATTTGTAGGTGGATTAGATGGGGCTTTAAATGGCATTTGACCTGTGCTCATGGCAATGTACCAACATTCCATGAAAAGCATTTAAATGACCTTGTTACGAACTCATGTAGGTATCACAACCGAAAGCTTACGTGGCAATTGTTGAATTGTTCAATTGGCGTGTCAGAATGGCAGCCACTGCTTTACATTTCCTGCATCTTGCACTGACTCAAGGAAGTCAATCTGTTACAAACATGGTCTACAACCATTCAGTTGGTTCAGTTAGAACTCACTGAACAACATTTTCTGTGCAAAACCTAAGTGGTTACAGTGAAAATTGCTATGCGTAGGCTTCTATGTAACACATGAATCCCACCATGAAATCAAAGTGTGTCTTCAAGCAAATCGCCTCTAATCTAGAAACAGACATGGACCACCATCTTCGACCAATACCACCATCTACACGATTTCACCTTTGTATCTGATCCTTTCATTTCAAAGTTTTACTCACGAATCTGGAAGCTAGCCTACGAAACTATGCTTTACTCAGGTTACAGCGAGAAAGACTAGGCTCTTAGACATCCTTTTGTCTACATAAAATGATCCAGTCGCCTTGCGCTAGTTTGAGCCTACTAAGCGATCTATTAGGGTTCATTTAGGGTCTGCTAAACCTGATCGACTCTATACACCTGCTGCTTGAACCCCCAACCTCAATGATCCTCACACACCGGGGGCGATGAAGTTGTCATCTTGCCCCTACGTAAACTCCCGCGCTTAAACCGTAACATGACTGACCTCCTCTAATGTGCCAAAACGCATCAGTGCAGATTATTTCCACGCATCTGCATTCTGCCGAAATGAATTGTTAAGATCTGCTAAATGTTTATAAATCAGTGGTTTGCTGACCAGGAATTCCAAATAATAACCTTCAGGATCTGACCAATTTCAACGTTACGAACTTAATTTTACCTGATTAAAGAAACCATTTGAGTACTGGGGACTGGTGTATGCTTGCGCATGATGGTGGGCTTGATGCCAATTGGAACCGCCGGTGTTGCCATGCGCTTGCACGGATTGGTTGGTGAAAGTCTCCGCAGTTGCTTCTGCAGCCACATCGCTGCTGCTTGACGACGCTAAGCCCATGTTAGTGTCAAGCTTAGTTTTCTTTCCGGAATCATCGTACTGAGCAGCAGGCTGTTCCAACTCCAAGTTATGCATTGTCAAGCCTCTGTTTGAAGCCATAAGCTGGCTCATCTCCCCCATGTGTAGATTAGGCTGGGATGCTACACCTGGAAAGAAGTGGTTACCCGTTGGACTTGCTTTACCGTTACTCACAACTAATTCTCTGCAGAGCAAAAGAACGAGTAGGTTTAAGCCAGCCTTGTCCCTTGTCGAAGTCGATAGTTTTAAGCAATAATGAACCGTAAGGTTTAGAGTTTAAGTAATACGACATTGGGCACCTTGTTGTCTGTGTAGGCGCGATTGCCCGACTAGGGTTTGATTGTTGCTCCATGAGATCCTGAAGCGTTGGTTCGCCCCGCTCTGGCATATTCCATTGCAAGAACAGCGATGGTGCTCCTGCAATGTCCGCCTGCTGCTGCTGGCGTAATGCCATCATCTGTTAAAGATACAACCTCAGAATATGTTTAAAATATTGAACATTTTTTAAAAACATATGAATATTTTGCGGTAGACTAAACTTCATACCCAAGAACATACATAGAAAAACAAAATGTTATTTAAACAGTAACATGAGGACATAATACACTCTGCTACCCTACTTGTTGATAACTGTTTCCCAGAAATTCGTGTTGCTGCAAGAAAGAACAAAACTCTAACATTAGTTCGACAGCAAAACAAAAAATTGAAGTCAAACATACTCTCCTGATCAAAACACGTCCACCTTACAGCTCTCATTGAAAATGTAATATTCTGTAAAACCCTAAGTCAATGTAAACCTCACTGCATCACAGTTAAAAGCATGCACCTGTCTTTGCATAGCGCTCGCAGCTTGATACGCATTGCTTACATAACTCTGCAACAAAACCCCAGCATGCACACAAATACATCAGCGTCTGTAGTGCTGAAAATGGGAGACTGACACAGACAGTGCAAGCGGAGTAATTATACAAGTTTGTAGAGATTCGGGACGTTGCAATCGTACCTTCCTTGCGCGCACCCGCTCAAGTGCCTGCTCCAACTCGGTTTCCATGTTCGCGAGTTGCTGAACTGAGGTAATGTTCTGTAAAAGGTTCTCATCCGCCAAATACAATCTTGCTCTTTGCTGCACTAGCACCTTTTCCTGTTGAGATTTTTTTAACTCCTCTTGTAGTAACTGATTATACAACATACACCTTATTAGACCCGTGATCTAACACGTAAAGCGAGAGTGGATTTCCTTCTACATCTAGCATCATATTAAAACAAATTGGATGTTGTAGTAAAAAAGAACATAAACTTCGAGTTCTCTGGCATTTGGAAGGACTTACTCCGATTTCGTAGCTCTTACTGTTTTCGTCCAGGCACGGAGAACATGCAGCAAAATTGTGACTAATTTAGAAAGGATAAAAACTTTCTCCAAATGCCATCATTATTATTCCCACAATGAACCGAGAAAGAAACCCTAGACCTAAAAGGATGATACATGAATGCTGACAGAGACTACCTGTCGCAGAAGTGAAAAAACTACGTCGGCGTCTTCAAGAATGGATCGTTCACTAACCTTCCCGTAAGGAGTTGATGATTTGCAGCAAGATCCTTCTCTCCATTTGAGTTTTTCAGCGCCCGGTGCAGATACTGTAATCACACCACCAACATCTTCGTCATCCCAAAACCCTAAACCCAACAAGCGAGCTCGCATTACTGCAATCCAAATTTGGATGCTCACAAGCTGCGCATAACAAGTTCTCAGTCTGCTTCAAGATTCCAGGATGCAGAATTTGAAGCTCTAGACCAGCAATTAAAATGCATGCTAACCTCCAAATTTTCGGGTTTCCTGAAAAGAGGTCCGCGAATACACACAGCACACGTGCAAACACGTCAGTGTTGAAACCTAAGCCATCGAATCTTACTCAAGGAGCATATTAAACAAATAGCCGATGCCAAGGAGGAAAACTGCGGGAGGAAGTATGTACTCACCTTGTGTACTTGCTGCGATCATGAACCATATGAAAATTGGCGAAGCGCGTAAGCATATCCTCAAGGCTGCTCGCACCAAACCCAAGATTGCAATGAGTGTTGCAAATGCTGTAAGTTAGCCTAGAGCTTTTCATAGACAAACTTCCTAAACCGATCACTATACGAAAATGGACGTAAAAGCGTAAGGGGGGGGGGGAGTCACCACCTCTTGTTCCGTTCATGCATTGGTAAGTTGGCAAACCGGCCGATAACGTCCTCAATACTGCAGGTTCACTCCAGCACACCACGAAGCCACGTTAAGGTATGCAACTCCAGCGAGCAACCTAAAACGTTATGACAACTGCAATGACCAGCCAATTTATGCAATACCTGGAAAGTCCCAAGTTGTCACTAAATAGATCTCAAGCTCATGGTGATTTTTTTCATTACAGATTTCTTTGAGTAGAGGTATCAAGATCTAAGCTATCCGCATTCAAAACTCCCTACACTGTTAACCATGTTACACTAACCCACGGCCCTTCCCTAAATTGCTAGGAGTATGCCCGAGCAGGAATTAGGTTGCATTGGAAACCTGTAAACTGGACGCTGAATCACAAGAGAATCTCTATCGCCAAAGGTCGATGAACATACCTGCAATTGCTGTACTGTGTGAGTTTTCCAGAGGGAGAAAACATGATGAGCGCGACGTCAACGTCACAAAGCACTGACAATTCGTAGGCCTTCTTGATGAGTCCATTCCGCCGCTTCGAGTACGTCACCTGCCTGTTGGTTGGGTTCTCAATCTTCTTGATCTCTAACTTGACTCTACCCATCTGTGCTGGCTTTCCCCTCAAACGGTTATGGTGGCTGAAACGGCAAAGCTTCGAACACTCTCACGTTGCCCCAGTTTCTGCAGAGAGATCCGGTTCTGTGAGGGCAAACTACACTGTCCTGTAATCGCAGTGAAATTCCAATACTGACTTGTGAATGTGACGGGCTGGCCCAGCACTAAACAGCAGCGACAAATTGCGGCTCGGCACTGCCCAGCTACTCCACTCCAAATCCACTCCAGAACCTCTCATGCTTCTGGCCGACTCCCTAGCGCAGATCCTTGTACCGATCTGACGAGAACTGTACCGGAATCTCGCTAGCCAAAACAGACTTACAAACCAGCGTCTTCGGGACAAGGGGAATAAATGCGCAAGTATGCTCAATCCATCCACAGCTCAACAAAAATGTTGATCATTTGCCTCTGGACCGAGAAAAATGATGTAAGTTCTACTTCTAGCGGAGCACCCGAACACAAACTTGATGGGTGAGGCAGGGACCAGCCGCGGAGGCGACCACTAGAGATCTCATGATTTCGATCACAGGATTAGTTGAGACTCTGGAACTCTTTCTTGCAATCGATGAGCCTTCCACATCCCCCCCCCCCCTCCGCACCTCCAGGTGAACCCAGCAGACCGACTGCGCAAAGTGTCCTCCTCGCGCACTACCTGCCGCGCCGAGCGCCTTTGACTTTTTTCTCCAAGTTACCTTGCCGTCAAATTACTCGTTTGCATTCATGCGGATGCCGCCGTGTAGCGCATTCATTTGTCGAGTTTAACGCATGTAAGGTTCACGAATTTCCATGTGAACCAGTAGTGATTATGGATCAAAATTTCTCGGGTGTGGTCACGTGTGCGGGATGGGCTGACCTCTTTAGAGCGGAGACGGTCAGGCACATCGCTAGCAAGCAAACTTGCTTCTTGCCCAATACCAATAATAGTTTCATCAACTTTGTCTAGTTTTTTATTTGGGTTATTTGCCGATGCTGCCGGATGTTGTCTTCTTTCTGCGACAGGGAATCTGGAGCCCTTCAACTAGCGAACTCCGAATTAGGGGTGTCTGATCCTTACAAGCATAGGGAGGTAACAAAATTTAGCCAACGAGAACGCATCGACGATTCCGCTTCACTCTTAAGTTCGGTTGATTGTGTGATTATTATTCTGGTGATAGTTTCGAGGAAAAAAGAGAAGATTATACTTGCGCGGATCTTATGAAGGACATGCACACAATCAGACAAAACATCGTGAAGCAGCCCCTCCAAAATTGCAGTGAAACAGTCCTACCCCCACCCATAATTTCTTGAGACAAAATCATCTTTATTCTTTCGAGAAAAACCACACTTCTGGCTTCCAAAATGCATCGAACACGTGTGGCAGAATTATGCGCATAATCTAGTTAAAATTGTGTTGAAGCTTATTATAAACTTGATAGCAACAATTTGCACATGGCGGCATTTAAGTCTTCCTGAGGCCAGAATCTTACTGCGGCCACCCACGCGCTGTTCCTGAATGGACCGTAGTACCACGTAGCCCTAGCGACCAATCTGAAGCAAAAAAATGATCTGGTAGTGTGGATCTGGGGAGTTGAGCCAGCGAGATCGACTGCCTACCATCGATCTAGCCGCCAGTGGTGCATCTGTCCAAGCTAGTTGACGATGGAGCTGTCAGAGAATTACTGCTCCACTGCAGTTGTAAATGGTGCACGTGCGCATGATGCTTCCACATGCTGGGATCCAGTTAAAAGGGGCGAAATGTGAAAATCGACCAGCGGAACTTATTATGTTTCTTAGATTTACCGGCCAAGTCAAAGTCATCCAAACTAATCACTCGTCCGAAAACAAGATCTTCTCTCAGCCTGAAGCTTAACATTATGCTTCGGTGATCTCCATCGCGTTTTCTCGTCCACCGACTAGATCTAGCCCTCGCGATCTTACCCGAGAGTTTGTAACACACCTATATTATAAAAATAAAAAAAATCCTTGGCTGCGTTGCAGATCTCTATTCATAGAATGCGACTCGAGGATGGTGATCCTCAAACTGATGAAGTCTTTGGGTCGGTGCTCGGAGTTGGACAATTGTATCAGTGGATGCATCTGCTGCAATATTACAACAGAATAGTCAAGATAAAAGGAAAAAAATAAGTTTTCTGCAGTTCTGAAAGTTGTTGCTAGCAGGTGCAGCAGAATTTCTCTGCATTCTTAATCTAAAGTGTAGATAGACTTACATTATCTATTTTATAATTTTTGGCAGTGGTGACCCAACACACAATGATTAAAAGTGTCAAGTAACAACTCATCTTTGGATACAACACTCTTATAATAGAGTAAGACAAAAGAGAACAAACTAGTGGGTGTTTTATATGGCTACTCTCTACAACTTCAATTTGTCATCATAAGTGTTTGTTTGTTTGTTTTCTTTTTTCTTTTTTCTTATCATCTAAGAACAACTCAATTGTCAAATAAAAGTGGTTTCATATTTTCATGATTTTTAATTTAGTCTTTTTTTTCTCTTTGATATTCTTCAATATAACTTGCTACCATTGTTGTTGTTGTTATTTTATTTTCTTTTATATGCAAAGTGAGCATAGTAGATAACCATCTAATAATTTATTTTTAATTTATTTTGAAGTATGTTGATTGTAATTTATTTATGCCAAATTATCCACATTAGAATTATTTCTTTTAAAGGTCTTACTTTAAACCATTTATTCTTTCAATTAAAAATAAGAATTGATTAAGGAATTTTTAGTTATTTGGACAAAATTATGTCCTATGTTAGCTATGAAAATTATATTAATTTATTTATAAATTTAATTGCATATATCATTATTTATTTTCCAAACCACAATCTATGTAGTAATGGATTAAAGTATAATTGTGCCCTAAGAAAACTTCAATCCATATATATATATATATATATATATATATTAGCAAAAATTTGTGCTATACAAACCATTTTATTTGTAGTTAAATGTATCTATTTTTTATTTTTTATTTTAAATTATACTTCTTTGTCCAAATATAAAACAAGACTAAGCCATTGTGTAAGACTAAGCCATTATATTGAATATGTCCACCTTTTAACATACAAATTCTTAATATACAAATTCTTGAAAGTTTTGATTTCTATGTATTACAATTGGAGTCTAAAAACTAAAATATAATAAAATGTCAATCATCATCCACAAAATCTTCAAATCTAATTTATTGGTTTGGCCTTCATAAAAGAATCCATTTTATCTTAATTTTTTTAATAATTATACTCATTTTATTGTAAATTTAACATCCAAACAAAACCAAATAGTATATTTTTTTTCAATTTTTAGTTTTGCTATTTAAAAAATAAAATAAAATACATATTTTGATAACTTTTGTATGTTTGATTCTCCTCATAGCAAAGCACATGTAATCACTTTTACCACTAATACAAGTATAGAAATAAGTAAATAAAGGGATGATAATTATATGAAATTTAGCATTTTAGGTCTGCTAGACTTACGTAGAATGCGATTGTTGTCTTTGAATATATGCAAATGTGCTCACTGCAACAACTCACCTCTTGACCGTCGTATGTATGTGTGCAAGTCGCCGGACGGTGCCACATCTGAAGTGGCTGCTGTGTGGAGGCATGATGGTAGGGAAATGAATCTGCAGCATTGCCGAATGCCCTTGAATTGCAGGTCGTGGAAAGAATATCCAGTCACTTTTTTGTTTCATCCCGATTTGTAAGTATCGGCGGTTATATTCACTGCAGTTCCATCATGCAGTGAGTCATGAGCCGTCATCGACAAAGCGGGGATCTCTCGTTCATATCCTGTGGATTCCACTGGCCGTAACAGATGAAAGCACCAAACGAAGATGAACAAAGGCGAAGCCATATTTACACTTCACGCTTCTTCGCTGCAAAAAAAATTGAAACTTCATATCCAGAATTTCAACATAAATTTCTATACTGCCAAGGGATCTCGATGTCATTCAGAAGAACATTGGCTGGGTTGATCATGCTCTAGAAACAGGCTTGCTATGGTGCGTGTTAGCGCATGTGAAGCATTCCGTCGCTTCTAAACCACATTGTTTGTTCCTGTCAGTAATCGATTACGTCAGTTCGGCAAATATTTTTAAAAAATAAAAATAAAAATGTTGCTACTCAGTGGTGATTTCTCTACCTAGGTTGACTTTAAGATCAACATTGACATGCTATAGTTACTGGAACTGGTAAGTTATGGTTTAGGATTTTAGAAGTTCTTATTTGGTAGTATATATATTTTTCTTATTGTATTACATATTGTTTATATATTGTTGAGGAGGATGCAACTAGAAGGGTTATGATTCATCAATGTTGCAACCTTTTGTTACCATAATTTGATTATGATAATTGTTTTTTAATACTCCTATTTAAACTAAGTATAGTGTAGGGTTGATTCTCTTCCAAGAACGTCAAGCATTGAAAGATGTTGAATGAACTTTGGCCCAAACAATGCTTTAGTGAATAGGTTTGTCATCATTTTAGTGGTTGGACAATATGTTCAATTGTATTTCTTGTGAGTTGTTAATTATCAAATGAAGTGATATCAAGTAATATCAAGTTGATTTGTGTAATAGTAGGATTTTTTGGTGTCTACTAGGACTAGAGTGGATTGGTTGTGACACTAAATTTGAATGGCGCTTATTAGAATTTTAACTTGTTTTGCATTATAGAACAAATGTCAAAGCCATATGGTCATATATTTGGCTTTAGTACTAGAAAAGGTTGTAAATATTTGGTGGATAGAACATCAATTGATTGCATCTTAAGCTATGAGAAAAATATACCCTAAAATTGATCATCGTTCATTGATTTCACTAACCCAAATGGTGATATTAAAGTTGAATAGGAGGCACAAAATTTGTGGTGTGATAATATTTTAATATATATATGAGCTTAGTGTAGATATGTTGAAAGATATCTTTGCAAGTTTATAAATATTTGGATCTAAGATTATGCATATATTGGAATAATAAACTAACCATAAATACTAGATTAGATCTTATACAGATGTTGGCGTAGTTAAGGGAGCCAACAACATGAATATACAAGAAGGGTAGTTGTGAATGAGCAATGTTGTGAGCTTAAAGAGGGCAATCAATAATAGAGAGGTAAAATCTAATAACAAGGAAAGTGGATACATGATATGTGTTAAGATTTCCAAACTTGACTAGCTTTTGTTGGAGGTAGAGTTATTAGATAAAGCAAATCCAATTATAATGAAGGTCTCAGATTACATGAAGGCTAAGGATATGATGCACTTTGCCCATGTTCAAGGACAAGAATCTAGAATATAATTGGTTTTTCACAAATTACAAAAGTAAGAGACTATTGTTGGTAATTATTGTATTCTTGACATACAAGGTGAGTATAACAAAGTCAGTACTATAATTAAAAGAATAGACATTGTGCTTGATAATTAAATCAAATAATCTATCATAATCAAATCCTAATTTAATTTTAATTTAATTCTAATTAAATTTTATTAAACTTTAAAGAAATTCTAAGTCAAATCTTAATTAAAATCTTAATGAAGCTTAATTAAATTCTAGGTCAAATATTAATGGAATCTTAGTG